AGGTATAGAGAATGCGACTATTATAGTTCTTGAAACTGTGTCGCTCACCAAGTGTTTGAAGAAATTCCTAAGTCGCTAAGAATATGTTGTAGCTGGTTACATGAGCTCCTATTATTTTAATTTATGGAATTAGTTCTCTACCAACTTAAAACTATGAGCTTATAAAGGAATTTGACATCGTTAACAAGGAACTGGTGGGATAGTGATCGGAGGCAATGAGTTTTACTTTTATGTTAAGTGTGGATGATTAAGGGGGTTGGTTCTTTATGGTTGAAGGATGAGGAGTAATACTGAACACGTAAATAAGTCATAAGCCTACTTGGAAAGTAGAGAAATAGAAGGGTGTGGTGATACACCACTCATCTATGGTAATTGTTGAGATTGTCGCTCGCGAACCATTATTGTGTTTTTGGCATTGTTGTGACTCTTGATTAGTTTCTTATACTATCCTTTCATGATTTTATGTTATAGATATAGTTGTTAGAAAAGGAGTTTGACGACGTAAGATAGTAAGTCTCAAATTAAGGTATGTAAAGCTAAAACCTCTTTTGCCCTTAAGGCATGACCTAAACTCGCATGTTCTTCCGATAAATGTCACTATAGATTCTATGATACTTGAAAGAAAGTTATCCTATTTTATAAACCCTCTCATGTTTAGCCTAAACCTATAGAGTTATAGTACTCTTCAAGGAAGCAATATGTTTCACACAACTACATTTGTCTACAGTTGGAACTCTTAGAAGTTAGCGGTGTACATGTTGCATAAATTTAAAGAAAGCAACCAGCCACAGACTGTTCGTAAGTGCATAGGTCACAAGATATATGATTCTCAAGCAAAAGAATGTAATCACGAATTGTATCACGAGCTATGTGATTAATGAATTAATTATTATAAATAATTGGAAGAAGTTGAGAATATAGACTACTCTGCAGCGTAGGGTGGGTATATTATGGGCTACTACGGGTGACGCTACTCTGTGCACATAATTTAGATATAGTCAGCTGGAATTTCCCGTCGTGGATTCACCTGACTGATACATGCCTACGGGCAGACAATACAGGAACCCTGGGGGGCATACCTTGATAGACCCCATTACCAGACTATGAGATTTCACACGTGGTCATGACAGTGGGCTACAGATGCCATACAGGGTTCACTAATCACCGTCAGTAGGCCATCATGTGATTCCCTGACAATTAGCTTTACAAAGAGCAAGCGATATAATGAAGTAAAGATATCACTTAGGCAAATTATAGGGATTATATATATTTAAATGACTAAGCCATGAAATGTTCGATGAGGATCCTTGAGGTTGGTCACAATTCCAGTTACGGATTATGTCTCCTACATACACATGCTCTGATTTGCCTATCATGATATTTGATGTCTACTTGTTATTCAGTTTGCTTTACATACTAGTACATTATTTGTATGTACTAACGTCCCTATTATTTTGGCATTTCATTTGTATCACTACAGGCTCAGGTACTCAGGACAACAAGCATTTTCAGTAGACTAGAGACTTCCAGTTTAGCAGTTGGTAAGCTCCACCTCTACCTGGAGCTATCACATATTTAGAGCCTATATTTTACTACGTATGTACATATATAAAAATGGATATGTCGAGGTCCTGTCCCGACTAGTTATCAGATTCTCAGAGGCATACTCTTTAGAGGCTTCATAGACTTAGTCTTGTTTCAGTTGTAAAGTAGCCCAACATGACCTTTTGTTATCTATGTTTTAGTATATGTCTTCACATAGGTTCTGCTGCTTATGAATCTACAGCTTTGACATGATATTAGTAAGATATTTAGCTGGTGCTTGTGTATATCCTTGATGTCAGCCCCTTTCTAGTTAGGGGTATGTCAATTCAAGCCTAATTCGATATCACAAAGTACTTAACATGAAGTGACTATTCAAATCTAAATCACAAGATTCAAGTTCTATACCTCTATAGGAAATCTCATCCCAAGAATATTACTCCTTACCACTACATCCAACTAGCCTCGAGTCTCAATCAAGAACCACCTAATGCATCATGCTTTCATCCAGCCACTACCAACACCACATTCAATCCTAGTACTATAACCACTCCATGGATTCCTACTAACCACTCCTTATAAGGATTCCTCATTCTCTCGTCACTTCTACCAACAAAACTTTCATGCCTTATTACCAAGAATTGACTTATTACTCCTCATAAAACCATATCTCTTTTTTCCTCCACATTTATAACCTTAGATGGAATAACACACCATCACTATCACAACAAGAAAAGATCAATCCTTTTCTCTATCATCACACCACCACTATCAACTAAAAAGGATCACTGAGAGAGCTTTAGGGAGAAAGATCATAAGCACAATTCATTCGAGATATCTGATATAAGAATATACATGGCATAACATTATGTTGCTAGCCATTGAGAGTAAATCATGTACTTGTGAGACTGAACATACTATGTGACATGAATGCTTATATGAATAGGTTCATATTATGTGGCTGATATCCACAGCTGTATGGATTAAGTTCGAGGTTAATGGGCTAAAGTATTTGCTCCTCATTCTGAAAACTGAGCATAGATGTGAAACTCTTTGAAGTGTATGAGCATAGGTCATAGTCACAATTCTGAAATTAGAAATGTCAATAAGATGTTGTAATAATTGAGCTTTGAGGAATACACTAGAGTATGACTGGATTGATGAACCTCTAAAACTCATTCTAAAAACATCACTATCTCATCCTCAACACTTGAATTTGTTTCTCATCTCATCATCTCCCTCTTAGGTCTGAGGATGACTCTTTAAAGCTATGGATCTATTGCATTATGTTTAAGCTAGTCTACGTTCCTTTTTTCCTAATACTCGGGAAAGGCTTATCTCATGGCTACTGAACTCTCCATAAGTAGGTACTAAGACTCCTTCTAAGACCTCTTTCTGAGATACTTCTCTTGACCTCTTCTTATTGGCTTATAAGGACGCTTCATCTAACTCTTTAAGGAAACAAATAATGCTTATATCAGTCTATTCCATATTGACAACTCAAATATACTATACATGCACACATGGAAAATCATTAACGTAATTGGAACCTCATCTGATTACATACAATCTCGGGTACACCTCTTAATGCTTTTGTTACTCTTATGACTTAGCCACACTTCACTACTCTTATCTAAAAGTTAGAATCCCATATTTGTTCCACTCACATTCATTGTAACTAACCTCTTAATTCCTCTCCTACTCTATGTCAAGTCTACCAGATCAAATCTCAAAACTAACATCATCACCCTTACGTTGTTATTCTTTTTGTCCATGACTCTCATCTCAAATTCAAGCCTAATGTCTACTACAAAACATGGATATCAATATAGTTGCTCGCATAAAATACTAACTCATTACTAATAGATAAAAATAAGAAACATTGATGGGTCCGAGATTTGGACTCATTTAGGGATTTGTTTTGATAGTGTTAGTGTCCTCAAATGCCTGATTTATGCTCTAAATTGATGTCAAAGTGTTGATTTGCAGCTTTTAACGCTAAGGACCAAGGTAAGGACACTACCAGACAAAAAGAGACTAACAAGCCAAAGAAGTGGAGAAGAGCGATCTTGGTGATCGCCAAGATCACTCTGCGGTTCGCCGCGAGTGACCCTTTAGCCCGCCCAATTTTACAGTACACCTTGTCTGAGACGAGGGAAATTTGGGTGAATTGTGTTCCATAACGGCGAATTACCGAATGGATCGGCAAAGAAAGGCTATACCGTCGAAAGTACAGAATGAGCAGTGAAGATGCAATCAAATTGGCTATCCAAAGGAACAAAGGGCGCATCACGAAAGTGATCGGCGATACCGATCTAGACCGCCTAAAGTTACAGTGCATATCGTATGAAAACATGAAGCAAGAAGGCGATAGACATGGGGATTGGCGAATCGCCGACCGGTCGGCGAAGCCCAAATTTCCTCGCCGATTGTACCAAAAAGATCAAATATTAGATCAATATAAACTAATATTTTGAAGAGATATAAGACATCTAAATAGTGAGAAACTCATACCTAGAACAAAGAAAACATTGTTCTTGCTCAATTTTGAAGCTTTCAAGTAGATTTTCGAGTTGGGTCTTGTAATTAAAGCAAAGTTTAATCATTTTGAAGTTGGGAAAATCAATACTCAATCATGGAGCATGTAGTAGGTATTTAATTTTCACTTTTTGTGATGACTAGCTAAAACCCCAATCTTGGGGGTTTGACCACATGATTAATTGCTAGTTTAGCTGATGGGTGTTAGAAATTATTGATTGTTTTGCTAAATCAAAGTGGGTCTAATTTATAGCTACTGTTATTTAGCTGCATTTTATGTTTCTTTTATTGTTCTTGGTGTTTTGTGCTTGCTTGAGAGTGAAGTTCAAAACCAAGACAATAAATTCGCACTCGTAGTAATTGCGCTATTGGGGATTTAGCTCGAGAGAGTGAATCTTATATGATATGCTAAAAGAGATGAAAGCTGACTTCTCCTCATTGAATAATAGAGTGAATTCTCACGCTGATGCAATCAAGCAACTTGAGGGTCAACTAAGTCAACTTTCAGCACAATTGGAATTTAAGATTTTTGATAGGGGTGAAACTGAATGCACAATAACTTTGAGGGCTGATAATGACAAAAATTTAGCGGTGGTGACTAGAAGTGGAAAGATAGCGATTGGTAATATAAATGGTAATGATGAGGTGAGAGATCATGAGGAAGAGGAGCTCATTAAGCACCGGAAAGTGATATGCTCAAAGAGAAGGAGGAAAGTCACAAGCAAAGCCTTGACGGATAGTTGCAAAAAGCTAAAGAAAAGGGCACCTCAATTCCAAAGATAGTACAACCTCTTCCCAAAATAGTTTCTCCATTTCCCCAACGTCTCAAGAAAAAAAATGAGGATGAGAAATTTAAGAAGTTCCTATCAGTGTTCAAAACACTTTCTATAAATCTACCGTTAGTGGAAGCATTGTTGGAAATGCCAGGTTATGCGAAATTCATGAAGGAGCTAGTCACCAAGAAGAGAAGCATGGACTTTGAGACAATCAAAGTTTCTCATAATTGTAGTGCCATTATGACTAGCGAGATGATTATAAATATAGAAGATCCGGGGGCATTCACCATCCCATGCACTATCAGTATGCTCCAATTTGCTAAAGCTCTATGTGATTTTTGGGCAAGTATAAATCTAATGCCCTATGTAATCTATAAACAGCTTGGGCTGGGCGAACCAAAATACACAACAATGCGGATTCTTATGATGGATCGGTCGATCAAGCACCTCATTGGAATACTCTATGATATATTGGTGAGGGTTGATCGATTTATCTTTCCGGCTGATTTTGTTATTCTTGATTGTGAGATTGATGCTAAAATTCCCATTATTTTGGGAAGACCATTTTTAGCAACCGGGAGAACGCAAGTGGATGTTGGAAGTGGGGAATTGAAGTTTCGGGTAAATGAAGATGAGGTCACCTTTAATGTGTGCAAATCAATAAAACACCCGAGTGATATTCATGTGGTTTCGACGATTGATGTATTTGATGAAGCGGTGGCTAGTGTGAGCCATTTGATGTGTATGAGTGAACCTCTTGAGGCTGTTCTTGCAAATTATGATGAAACTAAAGTGCAAGGTTATGATGAAGTGGTAGTTACTCTTTCGATATTAGGTGAACACTAAAGGAACCCATTGAAGATAGATATTGATATAAAGAATAGAGAAAATCCTCCCGCCAAACCATCCAGGAGGATCCACCAAAGCTTGAGTTGAAAGTGCTTCCTGCTCATCTTAGATATGCATTCTTGGGGGTAAATAACACCTTGCCCATAAACATTGCAGATGACTTGCTTGAGTGACAAGTAAAGTTGCTTCTTGAGGTGTTGAGAAGGTACATCAAGGCAATAGGGTGGACTCTCACTGACATTGTGGGCATACCACCTGACATTTTCATTCACAAGATTCAACTTGATAATGAGTGCAAGCTGAGTGTTGTATATCAAAGAAAGTTAAACCCACCGATTTAAGAGAAGGTAAAAAGGAGATAATAAGTGGTTGGATGCAGGTGTGATTTACCCTATTGTGGATAGGAAATGGGTGAGTCCGGTGCAATGTGTACCAAAATGGGGCGGCATCACAGTAGTCCCAAATGAAAAAAGGGAACTTGTTTCTATGAGATCGGGAACTGGATGGAGAGTGTGCATGGACTATCGAAAGTTAAATTCTTGGACTGAAAAAGATCACTTTTCCATGCCTTTCATGGATCAATTGCTCGATCGAATTTCGAAGCGCGGATGGTATTTCTTGTTGGATGGTTATTTTGGGTATAATAAAATCTCTATTACACCAAAAGTTCAAGAGAAAACCACTTTCACTTACCCCTATGGTACTTTTTCTTTCAAAAGGATGTCGTTCGGGTTGTGTAATGCTCCGACGATGTTTCAACGTTGCATGTTGTCTATTTTCTCTGATATGGTAGAGGATACAATGAAAGTCTGCGTGGATGACTTCTCAGTTGTGGGCTATTCTTTTGAAACATGTTTGGCACACCTTGGGCAGGCTCTTCAAAGATGTGTGGAAACCAATCCAGTCTTAAATTAGGAGAAATGCCACTTCATGGTTAGGGAAGGTATAGTTTTGGGTCACAAAGTATCTCAAAAGGGGTTGGAGGTTGATAAGGCAAAGATTGAGGTAATTGAGAAACTACCACCACCAATTTTGGTAAAAGGTATTCGGAGTTTCTTGGGGCATGCCGGATTCTACCGGAGATTTATCAAAGACTTCTTAAAAATTTCACTCCCATTGTGCAAGTTATTGGAGAGGGAGGCGAAATTTGACTTTGATGACGCATGTATGGCAGCCTTTAAGTGTTTGAAAGAGAAATTAATCTCTACCCCGGTGATTATTAGCCCAGATTGGTCGGAACCATTTGAAGTGATGTGCGATCAAGTGGGACAGCATTGGGTGTTGTTTTGGGACAAAAGAGAAATAAACTATTTCATCCAATCTATTAGTTAAGCAAAACATTGAATGGGGCATAGCGTAACTACACTGTTATGGAGCAAGAGTTACTTGCGGTAGTATATGCATTTGAGAAATTTTGAGCATACTTGCTAGGCACCAAAGTGGTAATTCACACTGATCATGCATCCCTGCGGTACTTAATGGCAAAGAAAGATGCTAAACCACGGTTGATAAGATGGGTATTGCTATTGAAACAATTCAACTTTGAAGTTAAAGATAAAAGAGGTTGTGAAAATTAGTTGGCCGATCACCTATCTAGGTTGGAGGGCAAAGAGAAAGATGAGCTTGAGTTAGACATAAACGACTCATTCCCAGATGAGCAGGTATTCATGGCCACTCTTGTGTAAACCCCTTGGTATGCCGATTTTGCTAACTATGTGGTATGTGGGTTAATGCTAGAAGAACTAAACTTCTATCAACAAAAGCAATTCTTGTTCGATGTCAAAAGATATTTCTGGGATGAACCATAGCTATTCAGAGAATGTGCAGACCATATTATTCGGCGATGTATGCCGGAGGAGGAAGTCAATGAAATTCTAAATGCTTGTCATGCTTCGCCGGTTGGTGGTCATCATAGTGGTGTGCGAACAACCGCTAAAATTCTTCAAACTGGTTACTACTGGCCATCCCTCTACAAATATACCCATGAATTTTTCAAGAAATGCATACAATGCCAAAAATAAGGTAAAGTGTCAAAAAGGCATGAGTTGCCTCTTCAGCCCATTCTGGAAGTTGAGTTATTTGATGTCTGGGGAGTAGAATTTATGGGGCCATTTGTGAGCTTGTTTAGTAACAAGTATATTTCGGTGCCTGTGAATTATGTTTCTAAATGGGTGGAAGTTTTAGCACTACCCAACAATGAAGGGAAGAGTTGTCCAATTTCCAAAGCGCTTCATCTTTGCAAGATTTAGCACCCTTTGGGGTATCATTAGTAATGGAGGTTCACATTTTTGCTACGGATTGTTTGCATCTACATTGAGTAAATATGGAGTGAAACATGAAGTGGCAATGCCTTATCATCCCCAAACAAGTGGCCAAGTTGAGGTTTCGAATCGGGAGATTAAGAGTATCTTGGCTAAGATAGTGAATGCAAATAGAATTGATTGGTCTAGAAAGATAGATGATGCTCTTTGGGCGTATCACACTACATACAAGACACCAATTGGTATGTCGCCATGTCAACTGGTTTTTAGGAAGTCTTGTCACCTACCAATTGAACTTGAACATAAAGCACTATAGGCATTAAAGGTATTAAATCTGGATTGGGCAAATGCTTTGAAAGGGAAAGTAGATCAGCTGAACAAAATGGAAGAACTCAGGTTTAGAACGTAGGTCTGGACAAGTAAAAAATGAAAAAATGGCATGATTCTAAAATCCTTATAAGAGAATTTCGAGTTGGGAATTTGTATTGGTATACAATTCTTGACTGAGACTCTTCCCGAGAAAGCTTAAGTTGAAATGGTCCGGTCCATTTAAAGTGGCACGCGTATTCAAGAATGAAGCCATTAAGGTCGAAGGTAAAGAAGGTCCAACATTCAAGGTAATTGGGCAACGCTTGAAGTTGTATTTTGGGGAATGTCATGAGATTGCATTGATCAAAGTGGTCTATTTGGAAGATGCTTGAAAGTATTTCCATGTAGTGACACGACGTTAAATAAGGCACTTCTTGGGAGGCAACTCAAGCGTTAGTGGTTTTGAATAATGTGTGTGCTGAATGTGTAGGTATGGGTAATTTGACGACGCCAGGACCATTTCGGCGAAACACCGAGTGGATTTGGCATTCGCAACTTTGATCGCATTTTTGGCATAAAAGGTGAGCTGAGATACTGGAAATTTAAGCGATGTTCATGCCCACTAGGTAATGCGCCGATGCTGCTCGGCGCACCTGATCTTGATCGCCTTTCGGGCCAAATTGAAGCGGTAACAGTCTGGATGTTTCGGCGAGTGCATGCAGTTCGGTGGTTCACCGATCTATTCAGCCGCCTCTATAAACCTTCGCCAAAAGGCCACTTAGTGAAGATTCCTTCTAACCCTACTCTGTTTGTTTAGCGCCAATAGTTCTTGCTTTTATTTTAATTTTATTGTCTTTTTTGTTTATTGTGAGTCATGTTTGTTCTTTGATCACATTGAGGACAATGTTGGTTGCTTTTGGTAGGGTGGTGGCTTGTTACTCTCTTGCTTTTTCAAGTGTCGGTTGTGGTCAATATCGATGACCTGAATAGTTCTCTAAATTGAACGACATGAATGTGCGGCTACGATGAGGCAAACTAAGTTACATAGGCAATATGTGAACTTTTAGCATCTTGTTGTGACTAGCCGGTTGTCGAATAAGTCTCGGGTGATGAACATTGCACGCTAGCTAGAAAGTGTGAAGTCTTGTTTGAGATTGGTACCAATACCTTGTGTGATGAGATTACTTTGAAAATTGTGTTTGATGACACCTAAAATTTGCCCCGTTGGTCCGGTTGATTGAGTGATGCAAGCACTTGAAATGAGCTTAGGCAAGAATTTTGAAGAGTGAACCAATTTGACAATATACCTCTTTTCTGGTCAACCTTTAAGATGTGTGAACCAAGGTTGACACCGTTTGAGCCTTACCCTTTTCTTGGAAGAAACTTGAACAATTGTGACCTCTTTTTGTCCCCTCACCCGTAACTTTCATGAAGTATGGTTTGTTTGAATAGCCAACTTAGGCCAAAAGCCTAAGTTGGGGGTGTGGTGAAAGAGAAGGGAAGTCAAGAAGTGTGAAAAACTCCCCCTGGATTTTGGATTGTTTTGAAAAAGATGGAACCCCTCCATGTAAAAAAAAAGAGAAAAGAAAGGAAGGAAAAGAAAAGAAAATGAATGAAAAAAAAAGATAAAGTTGTGAAATAAAGTAGTGAAAATTGCAAAAGAATTGGGGTATCCGATGATTCATGATGAGTTGAATAATGAGGTGGAGTTTGAACATGTTTGAATTTGAAAGAGAAGGAAAAAGAGTGGTTAGCAGGCCATACTTCATGAAGGTAGAAGCCACTAAGCCTAAATGACCATACCTTTACACTCATCCCCGTTACAAGCCTTGAAAAGACCTTTGTGATCTTGAGTGAGCTGAAACGAATGTTGATTGGAAAATAAGGGCAAACCGATGGGTGGAGTCATGCATGTGTTCATCTTTGTGAGTGTGAGAGTTGTATGTGGCTCTGGGACTTTCAATTCTTGAGATATTATGTGTGATTATGGAATCATATTTGTTGTGAGGGCATTTGATTATCTTTGTTGAGCTTGAACTTGCATTTGAAGCAAGTATTGTGAACTTGAGTACCCTTGATAATGGTGAGTCACAATTTGAATCTTTGAATGCACAATTGAGCATTGTATGTGTATTTACCTTTTGCGTGCATTCATGTTGGGTCTTATGCAACACTATTTGAGACATCCTCACTGAACTGTTGATCTTGAGTTCTACTTGAGGACAAACAAAAGTTTAAGTTGGGGTAGTTGATGAGTTCGAGATTTAGACTCATTTAGGGCTTTGTTTTGATAGTTTAGTGTCCTCACATGCCTGATTTATGCTCTAAACTGATGTTAAAGTGTTGATTTGCAGCATTTAAGGCTAAGGAGCAAGGCAAGGACACTACCGGACAAAAAGGGACTAATAAGCCAAAGTGGTTGAGAAG